ATAATATGATGATAGTGATGATGATGATGATGATGATGATGATGATGATGATGGTGATAAACACCATGATGATGGTGGTGGTGGTGATGGTGATGAAGATGATTGTGGTGGTGGTGATGATGATGATGGTAATGATGATGAGGATGGTGGTGATGATGATAATATGATGATAGTGATGATGATGATGATGATGATGATTATAATCACCATGATGGTGATGGTAATGATGATGAGGATGGTGGTGATGATGATAATATGATGATAGTGATGATGGTGATGATGGTGATGGTGGTGATGGTGATGAAGATGATGAGGATGGTGGTGATGATAATAATATGATGATAGTGATGATGATGATGATGATGATGATGATGATGATGATGATGATGGTGATAAACACCATGATGATGGTAGTGGTGGTGATGGTGATGAAGATGATTGTGGTGGTGGTTGTGATGATGGTGGTGATGATGATGATGGTGAGTCAGTGTAACCCAGTGATTGAACTCTGACTGTGTGCAGGTTGAAGGAGCTCCTCAGGGCCAAACTGGTGGAGTGTGGATGGAAGGACCAGCTGAAAGCTCACTGCAAAGGTTGGTTTCCTCTGGACCTCAGCAGGTTCTGCTTTAGTTATCAATATTTATTCATCAGAACATAGTAGCGGTTGATTTGCCCGCCTCTAGAACCTCTTGATATAGAAGCTCCTCCTCTAGAACCTCCTCCTCTAGAACCTCCTCCTCTAGAATCTGCTCCTCTAGAAGCTGCTCCATGGTTGGTGTTGTCCCTCAGGTTGCTGATGTCTTTCCACCGCCTTCTTCCTGGTCTGTACTGAATGTAGAGCCGCAGATTCCAGATTCTCCGATAAGGGATTAGAGTTTGGAAAGATGTTCTGATAAAAAGCCAAACGGTTTTAGTAAACTGTAGACTATTTAGTTGGAGTCTTGTAGTTTTTTCTGAGTTGTTTGTTTTTGCTGTGAACTGCAGCTTAATAACGGAGAAGTTTTCTCCTGTTTTTAGGTTTTCATACTTTTATTTTTACTGACAGACAGGCTGCTATCATCACCGGTTTAATATGTTTAGATCATTTTATCTTCATACCTTTGGGACATGTAGATGTGAGCAGTTTTTGCTCACCACTAGATGGCCCCAGTGAGCATTTGAAGCTCTAAGGCTTTATTTGAACACATTTGCTGAAGAACTGTGAAGCTTGAATAAAGCTTCATCTATTCATGTATTCTGGGTATGAATATAGTTCATGATTGTAGGCTATAAATGCAATCTACTTTTTAATTATTCATGATCCATCATCTTCTCTGCCTTTTTCCTACCTGAGGTTTTTTTTTTTTTTATCATTTATCATGAACATATCCAGCAGTAGCAGTAGGTAAATGCAGCTCCTCTCATTTAATGTGATGTTTATAAAGGTGTGAAAAACTGTTTTTATTCTCTTTAATTTGGAATTGTTGAGTTTTTTATTCCACTAAATGCACCAGTATGTGGGTTTGATTAAAATGTGTTTTAAATGTTACAGAAAAACTTCTGGAAATATATGGAAAATGAGTCGTAACCCGATTCACTGCCAGCTTGTGCCTCTCAGCCAGGATTAAATCTGTTTTGAGTTTAAATCTGAGGCTGGATTTAAATCAGTTTAGAACCTGCTGAGGATCAGATCATCCATCAAGTTCCTCTTTCCTTCCCACTGACTGGGTGTTTAAAGCTGGGACTGTTTGTGTGCAGATGTGATCAGAGAGAAAGGTCTGGAGCACGTCACGGTGGAGGACCTCGTCACAGAAGTGACGCCCAAAGGCAGAGGTAATGCAGAGCCTCAAACACGACAGCAGGGGGGGGAGAAGGACACAAATGAAGGAGACGCAGCAAGAGTGACAGCAGGGGGGGGAGAAGGACACAAATAAACAGCCGAAGTGCAGCTAGAAGACACCAAACTGTAGCCAAGTCCTTAAACTGTCCTGTTCAGTTTGAAAAGGCAATTGAGTTATTATGATTTCTAGAATTAAAGCTTTGTTTTAGATTCCTAAAAGGTGGACTGACTGAATCCTCTAAATCATGCAGTCTAAGCTGCTATAGGCTTAGACTGCTGGAGGACATAGGGACCCCTTCTCATCATTCTTCCTCATTCTCAATT